TGTATACAGATGGTGTTAAATCTACAAATTAACTACCACTAAGTGTAAATAATAACACACATTCTGAATATCTAAGTTTCAAAAACTCCGTTTCCCTAGAAAAAAACTATCAAGAGAACCAGGAACCGGAGCTGTAAAGTTAATTCAAATTTCAAATTATGATATACGAACAATGTAGAATCTGTTATTCTATCTATATGTTTAAAAAAAATTGAAAATGAAGGCAGTGATATATCATCTAGCCAGAAACCTATTTTCTTCTGTAACAGAATGCATATTGTATGAAGAACAAAATAATCAGAATGAAGAATGAGATATATACCACCAGACAGAAAGAAAAGCAACAGCGGCACCTTTGATTTTAGAGTCACTGATCAGCATTCTGCAATCATGAACAATACTTTGTATACGTATGTTATATCGAGGTTTAACTTCCGTACTCTCCATGTTTAAAGAATTTGTTAAATTAGAAGAAAATGAGCTTAGCGAAAATGACAAACAAGACAAGTATAATTTTATTCTGTTATCATATAAAATTGAGACAAATTCTGCCTTTCCTTCTTGTATCCTTTAAAGAGAAATAACGTTCTATACAACAGACAGAAAGCAAGAACGGCAGAAAAGAATAAATCACTTATTTTCATCCAAATGTAAAAAGAGAAATATATTACTAAAGAATATTGCACTCACTATGAAATGAGTCCATATTCTGGCAACTTCCCAGATAAAAGAGTTAAGAAATTTGAAGCTACCCTTCTCCAGTTTCTCTGGTAGTTTGAAGTACACAAGTAGTACTCCGTATCGAGCTAGTTTCAAGAAAAAGGTACTGTTTAGCTTTTTAGTTAGAAGACGGCCAATACCAGTGCTGAGCATATAGAAAAAGATTTAATTTTCAATGTAACTGGAAACGCTAAATGAATTTTCAAAAAACTTTTTTGAATTACCATGAATTTCCGTATTTCTCTTGGGGGCTTGGCAGTCGGACAAAAGATAAGCGAATATATGTCCACAGTTTTTTGTACGTGTAAGTTGCTGATTAGTGAGTATCAAGTCAATTTAATGTAGAAAAAGGCAAGTAAAAAGTAGATGAGACGAGAGAGATATGCGAGAACGTCAAAAAGAAGACACATTGTCAATTAAGAAAAAAAGAAAGCAAGCAGATAAGAAAAACAAACCAAAAAATATATTTCACAGGCCGTGCATGAATAAAACGAATGTCTAACAAACACATATGTAATACATACATCTCATCTATTTGGGGTAACATATGTATTTCCATTTAACAATTTTGTATATCCAATTATGTATATCGTGTGTAAACAAGTTTAAATTGAAATTGTCCCATTGAGTGTGTATTTCGTAGATCATATATACTAAACATAATATAAGAAAATGAGCAGTATCTTACAAAATATTTTATAACAGAAAATCACGTTTCGAAGAAGCAAACCTATTTGAGACGTAAGCGTACAAAAGACTTTGTGCTTGGCTGAAGTAGACAACATATCAGTGATGGATCGACCCTCGGGCGGATCCATCTCCGAGTCGCTGATATGTTTATCTACTCAAGGTAACAGAAGTCTTTGCAGATGCTTGTGCACTTTTCAAGCTATGATTTTTTGTTTTTCTTAAAAGAAGAAAAACGGTTTGCAGTCAAAACTTTTCTATTGCTTAAATTGAACCATGAAGAAATTGCATCCTCGTCACTTTCATTTTCAATCACCTCATCATCCGAGCTAGAATCGTTACTACCGGAAGTTATAACTTCATAATCATTTTCTACAACAGGTAATTTATCATTAGTTTGTACATTCTCCTCCGCTAATAAAACAAAATCGTCATCTTCGATATCATACACTTGCGTATTCATAAACTTCAACATTTCGCCGCGCTCTTCAGGACTTAAGTCCATCTCAAGCATACGATATAACTTCTGCATCATAGTATATAAAGGTTTTTTAGCAACGTTTGTTGAAGAAAAATACAACCGTGACAGGAGATCATTCCCTTTCTCTACTCCTTGCATGTTGAAGGCCCCTAGATCCTCTCTCTCATCGAACTCAAACAAATGATTGCCAACTATATGAAGATAAGGTGTGACGTTATTCCGCAAGCATGCAGCGTTGAACGTTTGAAGAAAGTCGACACAAGCTGCTTTAAGGGTTTTTATTCGTTTCAACGGATCGATTTTCAGCAGATCAAGTATTTCTCGAAAACTATAAACCAACTTTTTGGCATCAGTAATAGCATTTCCATCTAAAAGTTTTTCGTAAGGAAAATTTTGAAATAGCAAATCTTGTAAATGGCCGGAAAATCTTCCATGGAGTTTTATTATCTGCTCCTTAGTGTCATAAGCGAAAAAAACTCTCTTACCGATAAGTCTTTTGGAATGCTCATTTAAAATATCAATTTTTTTCTCCATCTCAAGGTCATGTTCTTTTCCGTACTTTTCTCGTCGAGATGCGTAATGCAATATATCAGTCATAAAAATATCATATACTCTCAATTTCATATGTAAAGTATCCATTATATAGTCACTGAACTCAAACAAGTCCCCAAATAATGGTTCGCATTTGTAGCCTTTACAGTTTTTATCTTTTTTCTTTAAGCATAATTTCTGTTCTTCTAACGTGCGCGCTTCCTTCTGAACATCAAAGTAAGAGGTAGTATCAGGTTCTTGTAATTTACTTTTATGTTGAGTACAAAATATGCAGGGAAAGTTTGACTGAACGCCCGCTAAACCGAACACATAAACGGCATTCATAAAATCTCCTCCAAGCTTTAGTTTGACGGGTATATCTTTCTTTTTTAAGCGAACATATTTAACGCTACTGAGACTATCGAGGAAAGGTTTAGGGAGAATTTTACGGTATAACTCACAGGACTCTTTTGGAAACTCAAATAGACCAACAGGTACTAAATTTTTTGATGACTGACAATCACGCCCACCTTCGATACAATTCACTGAAATAGCTACAATATGCTTGTTACCGATAAGAGTTCCATCCATGTTTAGTCGAAAGGTTATCTGAGGTAGTTGATGGAGATTTCGATTTTTGCGTTGTGCTATGAATAAAGCCGTTTTTATAGCATACTCAAACGAAACATAAGCACCGTCTGTCATGCTAACTATAGGAAATTTTAAATTGACCTCCTTCCTCGTTTTCCGAACGTAATGAAGTGAAAAAATTTTTTATGTTTCTTAACAAATTTGTCAATAGCATCGAGTCCTTTATCTGTGATATTATGCTCATCTTTCAAATGTAGAAGTTCACGCTTAATTTTTTCTTGCTCTATATACCACTTTTCATTTCTTCGAACAAGATCAGGAAAGGATTGTTCGTTGTAGGTAACGGTTCTGCGCTTAGCACCTCTGCGTGGAGTACGATAGGATCCAAGAATTTCTTCTATATCGGCGTCATAAGAGCTATGCATACTAGTAGGGAGCGAATCTAGGATTGGAATATGAAATACAAAAAACTTGTTTCTTCTCAAGATAGTTAGATCAGATTTAGCGATTGAAAAGGCTTTCAAAATATCGGATTTCAGTGAACTGGTGACAAAATCAGCATCATAATCTACCTTTTGAGATCTCATATATTCAAATATTATTGTTATCATGTCATGCACATCCATAATATTAGGAGTAGATAAAAAAGAATAACATGCCTGTTCAACAAATGATGAACTAAATGTTACCTCAACTAAAGAATTGTTGCTCAACTGTAAGGCAACCCCATCCAATAAAGCCGGATAGAAGGATACGGACGGTCGGACCGTCCGTATCTCTAAGATTAATTGATCTATTGATATTCTCTAACATGATGGTCATCAACAAGTTCTGAATCTTAACTACGTATAGAAGAAGAATAATCTATTATATTCGAACACCAAAATTTCAAAACGTTTCTTGTAGAATTCCTTTTCCTTAATGAGATATGGACTTCACAAACGTACTAGTGCCTCCAATGAATCACGAATTTTGTGGCTTCAAGTTCATTATTCTTCTAAACAAGTCTGAAAACTTTATATCTCATTGAGAAAGAGTGGTGGAGGGCTTAGGAACATGCCGGTTGTCGCTCTATCTTTTTCATTGCGACAAAATGTTTTCTGAAAACATGAATTTTCGAGAAATAATGACTAGGCATAATTAGCCAAATGACTTTTTTAAAGAAAATAATGATTTTCGTAGGTTCTACTTAACTAGT